TTACAGTGTCACGATGACGCCCAGGATGAAGACAGAATCGTTCCTCCGTTCAAGGCACACCATGCTGTCGAAAGCGCTTTTGCATAATTAAGATGCTTTGGATCACTGTATTGCTAGAAGACGAAGTCAGTACCGTACAGGTCCAATACCAACACCTCCTGGATTCTGCATGAATGGGTCCGCTTTCACATCCCGAATTCTATGTTATAGTTCCACTTCTTTTACGTACTAGTGAGTCTCCGCACTGTTTCACGGATGGCAGGTGCTGTCGCTGCTAACATTTTAAATTTACTTCCGTCCCTCTAGATGCCGGCCCAGCGAACGATGAACTACAGTTCAGTTGTGCGCAGACCGTTTCATTTCCTATCAATTCGCAGAAGAACAACTTCACAGTAGTATTCCAGGCGGTGGCGCATTACACAGCTAGTCTTTCGAAGACGACATCCATAAACAAGCATGGAACTTGCACCGAACTAACTACGTCTCCTAGCGATACAGCGACCTGAAACATCGCACCTCAAGTGCGCAAGTGTACCCTCGATAGTATAGTGCCCCTCAACTTCTGTCGCATATCTCGTGGCACTACTGGAGATGGTAAGAAAATCTTATGCAAAAAATGTTCATTAACTGATTTCGTACTTAGACTCTATCAAATTTTTCTGAAGATGCATAGGCAATGAATCGTTCTGATCGATGTCCACGGTATTCCGGATTTTCTTGGGCAAGCGCTGATTGCGATGCCTGTGTCTACCCGAATAGTGCATTTTTTGATTTTGTTGTTGTCTTTTTTTACGAAAAAAAGGAATTTAAAAAGATTGCAGGGCCTAATCTGCACACTATGTATCGAAAACACGGTCAACGAACACCTAAACTCGGTCCTTCGAACCGCCTCAATTTGATGCTCCCGCCTGCGCTCTCTCGCCTAAACAGTGGCTCATGACTTCTGTGATTCACACATTCAAACTTTTGCCACACTGTAAATGTCCCTCTTCCCCCATCTCCTCCAATGCTCAGTGTTAGTGCTCTATCATGGGATTCAGAGCCGAGCCAGGAACCGTTCTCTCTCTCGTCTGTGCTTTAAACATTCGTGACAGGACCACAGAAGAAAGTTGAAGTATTCCGCAAAGCAAAACCCTAGCCTGTCACGAAGATCAAATACACATCACAATGTAACCACGATTGTGAAGATGTGTACAGCGCAATGTACACTCTAATTGGGCTTAAGATTGCGCATCCATTGTACTCCATCTTTTCGAATGCGAGCATCAACAATCAGCTTGTAGAGCGTGCGCTTTTTATGAAGAAAATAGTGAAAAGATTAGTCGATCGCCAGATTTTCTATAGACTTCAAAATATAATATTTCAAAGAAAAATGAAATATCAACGAAAACCAGGACCATCAAAAGATTTCTCGTCAAGATATCACATTTCAAGTCCGCGAATTCGTTGTGGGGAAAATGAGAAGGATCCTCGAAATGGTAATTTCATTACTCCGAAGAAAAAACAAGTGAAATCTGTGCGAAAAATTACCCGAAATGCTTCATCTGCTCCGATGTGGAAGTGTTTTATACCGTATGGGAGATGAACATCGACAACCTGCTTGATAGCCTGCTTGATCAAATTCACGGCTCCCTGGTCACCGAGGCACACTACCTACAATTCAGTGAACCCTTACGTTTAGATTGGCATTGAATTGCGAAAAAATCGGATAATTAGACTGTCGTGGGGTGATAGATGTGATCAAATTCTGTTATGCTTCGGATTTGCAGTAGCATTAGCTGGGACTCTAACAAAAACTATCATCGTATGGCTACAGTATCCCAGATCGATGACTTACCGAGTGACCAGAGGAAACTTCCCGGTGGTTGCTGCCGCGGCGCTCTCAAGCGGTACCTACCCTAGTTCGTGTCGGTGGAATTGAGACGATGTGCAAAGCGTTATTCCACGAAGGCAAGCGCCGGGCTCAGCATCAATGAATCACTCGCTCTATTAGAAGGAGTTGTGTGACCCGTTGTTGCAGAGTTCACGCCATTTTCGGTTTTCGGAACGCGTCACTAAGGCGCTGGGCACTAAGGTTTGCTCAAACCCGACCAAGGAGAATCAGGACCAGGCCGTCGTTCGATATCTTACCTGCGTCGCAATGTTGACCTGTTATGTTCCCCCTACTAGGACTTCCGTACCGCTCTCCGCGCTCACATTATCTCTCATCTCCCTGCCTGGCCTTTTGAACTTCTCCGCAGCGCAATGGAAAAGGCTCATATTTCCTGTGATTCTTTCAATTTTCTTTCATTTTTCTCCACTTGCAGTCCATATCGCATCCCACTTTCATTTTTAAGTAGGATTACCGAATCAGGTCATTCCTGACCCTTTTCGAATCCCTCCAAAAATTCGAAAAAGCTCCGACTTGGAAGATGTTTCTCTTCGTCAGAACTCTCAAGGCGTTTGAGCTAGACTATCGTCGCTTGTTTATTTGTTCGCACGCTAAGCGTTCTCCTCATCGTTGGCAACCGTTCCACGCTGCCGCTGGCAAGGCTGCTGGATCAACAACGCTTGTTTCTTGCTGTCTAAGATTTGCAAACAACATGCGTTGCTTACCTGTTATCTACATCTCTCCGCTGCGGCGTGTTGCAGTGCATCTGATGCACGTGGCAAGGCCGGCTTCAATCCTACCCATCCAGCGTTCAAGTCCTAGAGCACGGGACATTTATTGGCCAGGCACTAGTCCCGAGACTGCCGATTAGCGAACATGTCCGTGTTCCTAATGCCGCCTTGTTGCTAGTCTCAGGGTAAACTCTCTACTAACCCGGTCCTAGAACTGCTCTGGCAAACTGATCGATAGTCTAATCCATATCCGCATTCTTCAAACCAGCGCCACGAAGAGCATCGTGACGTGGCAGTTCACTGGAGTCGTGATCATCTCAAAATAAGATAAAGTCAAACGCCTGAGCAAAAATGGTGCGTCCAGTGCCGCCGTTGAAATTGAACGTGCCGCTCGCCCATTTGCGTGGCTAAATTCCTGTGTATCACATAATTGCGGAAGACACGCAAGCTGTGCCGTGAAATTAGAGCTCGCTCATTCGCCGAACCATCCGATGAAATAGCTGTAAATTTAGCGAAAGCGTGAAGCATAGTCGGATGGCTGAAAACTGTAGAAGTGATGCTACCTCAAAAACATGTTTCCGCGAATTTTTGAGATCTCGAAAATTTTTCTTAGCATTCGATGTAATTTGTTGCAAGACTTGTGCTCCAAACTAATAGTTCAGAGGAAGCACACTTCTTCACCGCGGCAAAGTTTATATTAGTCTAACTTGTTCCTTTGCACGTCCAATCTCACACGTCCAGAGGCAGCAGCTTTGAGAGATCTCGCATACATACAGTCCCTTCCGTGAGTCCTCATTTGTCTCTTCAACTTTCGTGGAAGTCGCTCGTGATCTCTCACGCTAAGCTTCAGAGTCCGCCGTATCCCATATTGCGAGATGCCGTTACTTTCTCTGCACGCGACTGCATTATCAAAAAAAAAAAATTTCTCAAAAATTATCAAGTGGTTATTACCTCGTGATAGCGGATCATCATCTCTGGCGATCTTCGGACAATTCTTCATAACTTCAAAATCCATTCCATATGCCCAAACGTCTGCACTAGCGGAATAACTTCAAGATTCAGTTCTCTACAAAGAACGTTTTCATAAGTAGCTCAGGCATACGCGGGGTCAAGCGAGGCGTTTCGAAAAACCTTCAAGTACACCCACGTATGGGGCAAGATGGGATGACCTGCACTCTATAGTAGTTATTGAATTCAGGCATATGGATCTCACTGAGAGATCTCTGGTCGGTAGTGTAGTCAGGTTATGTGGCGATAGGGTGTGAATTCGTCGGACCAAAAGCCAGCCATGGTACTTGCCCTGCGGACGACAGGTCAGATTCAGGGGATAACGGTGCTGTGTACCGTTCCCAACCGCTGTCTCCAAATTAATCGTATCCATGCAATCTTGCGTGTGTGGTGCGCTTGTGTGTGTGTGTGGTTGGTATCTGCAGCATAACGTGACTTAGCACCTGGAGGTCCACCCAGTCCACAAGACAGAGCTTGACAAGCTACTTGTGTGCCTTCAATAAGCCGGAAACAGCAAAATGAATGAGGCTTCTCTGAACCTGAGGGAGCCCCCAATACGGCAGCGTTGGGTAGGACCGCTCGGGAGAGGCTGCTAGAATCTCAGGGCCCGGATAGGCTGCCTAAACGAAGAAGGACTAAGATGGCGATCTGTACTTTCAACGCACGAACGCTTGCATCCCGATAGATACCGTTGAAGAACCGTCGATGAATGCAAACCAAGGCCGGATTAAGTACGACGCCCATGACTGACCAGGCGTGAAAAGGCAACTCGCCCACGCCACAGGCCTTTTTGATACTGGAGAACTGTTCCTTGAACATTCGACAGTAATGTCGTTGACGCTGCGGGTGTCCCCGCCAACACGCACTTGACCATAAACATCGATTCGTAAGAAACCCTAACGACCCGAATCGGACGACGACGTTTGAGAAGATGTGGTTCAACTCCTGCTTTGACAATCTTCGTCGCCTACGCACCAACATCCAGCTACGACGAGAAGAACACGAAGCATTTTATATGGAATTGGAGAAGTTCTACAAGGAAGATCATACCTTCTTCAAGGTCATCGTCGGCGACTTCAACGCTCATAGTATTGCTGAGGAACGAGATAGACCACATCATCTTCAATCGAAGGTTTTGCCTGACCGACGTCGCTGTTGTTCCAAAGTTCTACACGGGATCGGACCATCGTCTCCTCCGCGCAAGATTCCACTTCTCGATGCGTGTTGAGAGAGCAGCAAGTTCAGGAAGCGAAGCCCCAGGACAGTCATCAACTGGGATCACTTCACTTCTCTTGTCAGCTTATGGGAGGATTCCGTTATCGAAAACATCGACGAGGAATACTATCGGCTCGTTGAACATCTTCACGATTGTGGCAGGAAGGCAGAGAGTTTGAAAGTCACCAAGGGACGTCTGTCTCCGGAAACTCTCGAACTGATACGCCAGCGTGGAGCCGCACGAGCTGCAGGCAATCACCGACTCACGTCCGAGCTTGCGAAGCTATGCAGAGAGGCGATAAAGGAAGATCTCAAGGAGCGAAGAGCAGAAGCAGCAGAGGCTGGCAGAAGCATCAATATGCAACTATTCAATGCTGCAAATGCCGCAGGGTTTATTAAAAATGTACAATTTCTAAGGAAGGTTTCTTCTTTTCTGGCAATTACAGGGCCGCTCAGAAAAGTTTATCATCGCTTTTATGCTTCACGCACGTAGCCTTATAAAGCAGTGAACCGTTTTGAAAAAGCGTCCCACGACCTGAACGATTTTCCTCGTAAGAGCACTGACCGACACTCGACACGCATAGAACATGGGTTCTCCTCTCTGTGAGGTGGGATAGCCGCCATTGCCGGAGACTGATGGCGGACAAGACTCTGTTGAGGACCATAATCCACTGTGAAGAACTGATACGCTTCCATCTCACATCAAATTCGCATAGAATTAGAATACTTGTCGCATCCCGAATGGATCAATCATTAAAGGCTTCCGCCAATAATTTTCCACTGTTTCGGGGTACGGTCTGAGGTTTTAATTGAATTTGGACCACCTACCGTGCCTTTTGAAGAATCTGTTGCACCTCTTCGACTGTGTATGCATTGCTATTTCTTACCATTTTCAGCTCACCGGACCATGGAAACATATCTTCCCATTCCATCAAAATACCTTGAATGAGTTGTGATTTGCTTCAAATTTATGATCACTTTTTAAGCGAAGGATGATAATGGTAATGCCATTATCCGTACTGGCCAATCCCTTTTTGAGATGAGCCATGCACTCTTCTTCCACAAAGAATTCTCAAATCGAATTCAAATGTTTGAGTTCGACTTGGCTTATACTGCGGATTCTGGCAGCCAACCGAAAGACAAGCCAGCAGTCGCAAATTTGGCACCAGCAAAGGTTACCTACTGATTTCATTTTATTCATAAGCTTATACACAACAAGAACAACAACACTGCGTAATCAAACAAACGCCATCGAACCATGCCTCTATGCCAACCGTGCCTTCACCCCAAGATATGTCAACACTTGTTGGACGCCGTCATGGGCGCGCTCTGCGCAAATTTTTCAGTATTCTTATCAGTAGGGGCGATTGGACCTCCAGCGTTTTCATTGATTCAGTAATGAGAAAATTGTTTTCGGAGTTTTTTCTTACTTCCAGTTCTCATTCCTGCCTCTGCTTCCATTACCGGCTGCATCCACCGCACTAGCTTGATCATGAAAGGCTTTGAGGTTGCCAGAGCTTCGTTTATCTCAGAGGGAACTAAGGCGCAATCGTTAACCTACATGAATTTATTCGGAAAAGTTCATTCATTCTCTTTTTCCTGACACTCGTGTAGGTGTCGCAAGAAGGGGTATGGCGACTGAATTTGCTATAGCGAGCCTGCTCCTTAGGATGTAATAACCTTGAAATGGCAAGGTCGAAAATTATGAAAAGGTGAAAAGGTGAATGAAGCAACTCACCAGTAGCTCCAGATTTCGCTACTAACTTCAGAAGTTCAAGAAAGTACTGGGTTTTCGGAGGTGCTCCTTTTAGGTCGAAATGCACAATGACATTTGTGTAGTGGTACTTGAAAAAGCAAGAGTATTATTTGCGAGTAGCATCAGAATGGTCTTTGGCATTGGCAATTTTATCAGGGAGAATGGGTGTGTCTTGTAAGGCCAATGAAAATGAGTGTGCAAGCATGTCGCGTTTGGAATCAAATCGCGGCACTTGAATCGACAATGGGACACCTTTCTTACTGTCCACTTCTCATCGGGTGAGGCATACTGCTAACTTGCTATTACAGGGGGGGGGGGCAAAAAAAAGTCACTTCACTTTGCATGGCGCATATCATCAAACTTTCGTCGCAAAGGATGCCGCTGTTATTGGGAGTTATACGGCGAAATTATTCCTTAGATGTCCCCCATAAGCAGAATCAGGCCCACCTTCGCTGCGTTCACCGTCTCCAGAATATGACGTCATCTGTCATCACCGTCGAGCTTAAGGAGGCCTACCATAATCGCTCCATTCTGAAGCTGCTACATAATTTCTTCAATCGGATAACTGGTGAATGACTTCTTAGGGACACTAGCTCTGACTATGCAAAATGGCTTTTGACCAGCGTTTCAGAGACGTCGCAATCGTCCGTGGGAAAATCTCCTGATGTCGTTGGTGTAGAAAGCCCCAATGTAACTTTTTTGGTAGAATAGAATGTGCTCTTCAATACGCAATTAAGCTCATTCAGTTTGGTTCTGGTAAAGTGTAATTAATTTTGCTTTGAATGTGAATGAAAGTGACTCTTTTTTTTGGCCCTCCCCTGTAGATCCTACCGTTCCAGCCTAGCGAAGAACTTGACAAAACTCGATAGCACAACTGTCGAGTAATTCCAGTGAGCACGCGGCAAAAGCGAATGTGTTTGCGTTGTGACCATGCTCGACACAATAAAGTTGGAGTTCTTGGTGTTTTCTGGTGGTGTTCTTGCACAAGTCGTGCGAATTTTCGGTTTGGGTGATTCAGGTTTTATTCCGAGCAACCAGACATCTTGGTGATACTGAGGTTTCAAGAACAAGGCGGAAGTGGTGTAGTGGCAAGTGGCACGCTTACCACGCGAGCGGTCCGGGGATCAAATCCTGGGTCGTGAGTCGCCCGGCCAACCAAGCCTTCCATCCCTCCGGGGTCGGTTAATTTGGTACCAGACTTGTCTGGGAGGATAAAAACACTGACTTGTACATCGGCTGGCCCCCGCAAGTCATTGTATAGGCCAATCGCACGTACGAATGTAGGGGGGGGGGGAGAGAAAAAGCTCACCGGCGGCGCGGACGCGAGCACGTGTTGGTGACGTTAAAATGTCGTCACTGCTACGGCAGGTTCCAAGGAAGAGCAAGCAATGGTTAGAGCAGTTGTACTTTGCCTAGAGGATGGCACTGGGTTTCCCCGTAGTATAACTAATTGTCCAATCACGTTAGCGCGAGCGATTAAATGTTCATGTCATGCACAGGTATTATCTTTGCACTAGAAATTGGAATTTATCGGAACTGTACAGAAAGTGAAGGCTTTCATGTGCAAACCCTTGAAAGTACACAACCATGGTAAATTGATTGAATCAGGTCCGTTTTTCGGGTTCGTTTCCTACTTACTTCTACTCAATCCACAGCAAAGTAATAGCGTGACAAATGCTCGCATTCATCAAAGCATTCATATCAGATCTGGCCCTTGCTCGCTTCCCTCGCCGTCGCTGTGACGTCACCAACATCGAACGACCCGCCGGGCGCTTGGTGACTTTTCCATGGAGCCACGAATATACAAATGGAGGTAGAATGGAGGCGGTCATATGGCGCCATCTCATTGGCATTGAGCGCACAGTATCCAGGAAAACTCGTCCGTATCACACAGCTGCTAGACTTCAGCAATTGATCGATGTGGTAATTTTAGGGTCGTCAAAAATCTCGCTGAGTTCCCAAAGATCTAAAAAAGAGTGGGTAGCTTCGTTGACCCTGATGCCAAGACAAGATGAATCGGAACAGAATGTGTTGCGCGGACGAGTTGTCCGGGCACAGCAGGACGTGGTATTACGGCCTGTGCGCTCCAATGGCCAATGGGATGTCGCGCCATATGACGCACACCCGGGAGGATGCGTGCCGCATCCAGAAAGAGGGCTAAATTGATCAACGGCACAAATGCATTATCCTCTTTTTTATCCTTATTCTTGGCACAATTCAAATAAATTTGCGGCGCTATCGCAACATGGTGGGCATTGTGGTGCTAGCGCTTTTCAAACTGCATAATTCGTGTCTTTTTTTTGTTGAAAACGGGACTAATGGTGAGCCTAAGGCAGGGATGAAGAGACTCCAAGATGAGTATGTTGTATTAATAACCGTACCTGGCCAGACTTGATCAACACTGGATCAATCTTTGGGAACGTTTTAGCCGCGAATTGTCGACGGAATGATAACAACCTTTTTTTGTTTCCCAAATTGTTTTTCCATTTCTTTTGGTAATGTGTCCAATTGATTTCTTTCCATCTTCTCTTCCGGGTGAGTCCTGTTCTTCCCTCAAAAGTCTCCCAACACTGTTCTCCTCTGGTAAGAATCTTCTTGCTCTGCTGTCTGATAAACCGGACTCTGCAAGGTTGCGAGATGTGGGTTCCTTTGCGAACGGGTCGTCAAATGCTGGATATTCCTTCTCAGTTGTGGTTGGAACCTTAACAATATAAATTATATAGATAAATAAATACAGATATGCATCACGGAAGTAGACGAAAGTAGCAGCTCAACTCGGTTTGTGAGGAAATGCGAGGAAATATGAAGCTTTTGTGCCTGTTTTAAGAAAAAATCTCAAAAAGGAGACCAACTCGCTCGAGGTTCCGAGCGATGAGATCGTAGAGATGTTACCATTTTTGGCTTGTTTTTATTGGGCAATAGCTGTTTTACGCCGTAATTACTCAATAAAGACAAGACAAAAATTGGCCACTAATTCTTCTGAAAGGTGAGACCTTTGAGGCTGTTAAGATAGGCGCGCTTTCTCAAGTAATGGCTAGAGGTCGGTAGTACGATATGTTGGTCCCCCTTGCTAAGAAAGTAGAGCTGTCAAGAGGTGCAGGAGCGAAAAAATCTAACTATAAGGGATATCCGCTAATCAGGACTTTTTCCCCGTTGATTCCTGCACTGGGAGAGTATCCGCTGCGCTGACGTCATCATTGTGCACGCTTTGCTCCATCTATCTGTCACAACGGCCCAAGTCCTACGGTGAGGGATCAACAATTGGGCGGATAGAGGAGGTCCAGAGGAATGGGTACTCTTGCGATGCCATCATGGGCCCCTCCTTCGCTTCGAGTGCGCCACGTATCCGTCCCTTGTTGGCTCGGCCTCCAATTATCCATAGTGAGCCTTTTCTCCCTCATCAAGATCCATTTTGCCGTGCCGCCTGCATTCAAAAGAGTATTTAACGATGAGGTCCTAGGGCTGTAGGATGATGCACTTTCAAGCGAAACATATGCTCCTGACGGCCTTGCAGGGCCGTACCGGCTGCACTCGCAACGTGACACGTCGACCTGCGAATGACCAATAACACTGCCATCGTTTGCTTTTCATTTAAGGGCATTTCATTTCATGCGAGCTTGTGTATCTTGTTGTACTTCTAAGTGATGTATTATCAATTAAAGAACGATCATGTCGCCATACACGACTGTGGTCCCGGCGCACCGCGCGCTTGGGCTTTGCCGCGCTCCGTGACCGTGATCGCCTGGCATGCACCGGCTCTAGGGGCATGCTCCGCCTCCGGTCTCGCCTCCAGCCGAGGCTACTTAAAGCAACAGTCCCAGCAGGGTTTTTACCTTCGACACTAATGGTGTGGAACGATGCGCTAGCCCTAGTCAAGAACATAAGAAGTGTGACTGAACAAAAAACTCACCTTGGAAAGCCGCTAGAAAGGGAGCTGAACGGCTTCGAAGTGGGCGTGGTTGTGCAGTCCCCTCGACCGGTTCCAGCCACGCCCACTTCGCAGCCGTCCAGCTCCCTTTCTAGCGGCTCGGCGCAATGCGCTCCCTTCGGGAGCGATGGTGTGCCGGGCACCGCGAGAAAGCTGGACTGCTCGAAGTGCCCTGTGGTGTTTGGAGAGAAGTTAAACAAAATTCTTGGAG